CACATGTGTTTAATAAATCAAAGAGGATTTAGATGTCTTTGTTGTATGATCTGAACCTTGGCATATAATGAATTGTTTCTGGCATTTTTCAGTTTATTAAAGAGACTAAAAGGGAGAAGGCAGCTAAGCTCACTCAAAAAACTAGACCTTGAAGTCTAGTTTTTTATTAACCATCCATTTAATCAGAGAACCATCCAGTACTGTGATATACACAGTATACTATTTGAGGCATTTTGATAAATCCGGTTTATCATGAAGGACCTGGCTCCAAATTAAAATCCCAATCTGTATTTTGAGAAGAAAAAGAAAAGGAAAAAGCAGGGAGATAAAATGTGGGCAAAAAAAAAATGAAGTTTTTTTTTTTTTGTTGTTGTTGTTGTTTGTTTTTTTTCAAAGCTAGGCATTTGACTGCTAACCAGAAGGCTGGTGGTTCAAACCCATTAGCTACTCCTCTGAAAGGAAGATTGGGCAGTCTACTTCCGTAGTGATACCACCTCAGAAACCCAAGGAGGGGTTGCTATGAGTCAGATCTGACTCAATGGCAGTGAGTTTGTTTTTTGGGTGTTGAGATTGAAAAGATAAATAGGTTTTTAGAGTAAAAATTGTGAAAGTTGCTATGTTTTTCATGGATTAACAATGAAATTTAAAGCAAAGTTACTGTGAACAAGAGACCTCCATCAACTAAGAACAAGTAAAGTAGTGGTACAATTTTTTCCCTAAAGCAATTACTGCAAACAAAATGTTTTAATATGTAAATTGAATAATTTTCTGCAAAAATATTGGCCATTTTCGTCTCTACCCATATAATAAAGAAAACTGAAATCCACTAAAAATCAGAGATGTCCATGTAAGCACGCTTCAACAGCTTCTTTTCTTTTTCCTCAAGAAGATGAATTGTCCCACATCGGAGCTGGCAGTGTTTTTGGACACCTGACATACTATACTAAATTTAATTCTACTTCTTAACTCAGCATAAAAGTGTTTGGGGCATCTTGTTAAGAATTTGTAAGATGCTGTTGTAGGCCCTGAGGACAAGTCAGTAGAAATAGCATTCTTAAGTAGCTGTTCAGCATGACATTTTAAGAATCAGTTTTAACTCTAAGGAAGCATACGACCTAGAAGTAGATATAAGCTGTTCATTCATTCATTCTTTCAACACTTGCTGTGCTAGGCAATATGCTAAGCAAAGGAATAAAGAGATGAAAAACACACAGCCCTTTCTCTTGCGTTGTTCGCTGCTATCATGATCGCACGTGTGCAGAGCACAACTGCCCTCTAGGCTTTCAAGGCTGTGAACTTTTGGAAGCAGATTGCCAGGCCTGTCTAACGCATCTCTGTGTGGGTTCATTGCCAGCCTGTGGGCTATGAGTTGAGCACTTAGCTCTTTGTATGACCCAGGGACTTCCCTTCTCCTTACTGTTCAAAATTAAGTGGGAGAAAACAGCACTTTAAAGTATCACCAAATATCAAAGCTGGATTGTTACATTAAAGCATATTTCATTTATATCACATAATTTTGAGAATGACAACTGAAAAATGTTTGCATTTTGAAAGAGTGTGCCACACCCTTTTCCAATTGAGGTTTGATCTTTTCTTGCCCACATTTACTAGAATTTCTTTTTTTCTTGAAAAGCTTTCTTTCCCAAAAGACTCATTCCATCCTAGTGCCTTAGTAAGAAGAGCCACCTGAAAGTGAGGTCCTCCGATTTCTACAATCCTGTGAACTCACTGAGGTTTAAACAATCTTTAAAATACAAACCGAATCCAACCCACTATCATCAAGTTGACTTGGACTAATAGCCACACTTTAACATAGAGTAGAACTGTCCCTTTGGGTTTCCAAAACTGTAAATCTTTATGGAAGCAGAATGCCTCATCTTTCTCCCACAGTGGCTGGTGGGTTTGAACTGCCAACCTTTTGGTTTGCGGCCAGATGCTTTAACCACTATGCCACTAAATCTCCTAAACAACCTTTAAAGGCAATGTTTATTGTTTGCTTGCCAGTGCTTTACTTGTGAAGGTCCAAAGAACTATATCAGAATACCACTATGATAAATACACACACATACAAAAAGCATCCCTAAGATACAACCATTTCTAAATCCTGGCCTCACAATTCCTTTTCCTGCAAAATTCTAATGACCTTCATTTCTACTCTTTTTCAGTTTCTCAGGCACATCTTAGACCTTATTATGAAAAATTTAAGTTATTTCTAAGTTTGTGAAATCTTATATTCTTTTCCTTTTCCTCCTCCTCATCCTCTTTCTAAGAGAAACAGAGGAGTGTGGTGAAAAAAGGACTTTGGCTTCAGATAGACCTGGGCTTAGACCCTTGCTTGCTTCCTTACTCACTTAACTGAACCCCAGTTTCTTCTATTATTTAAAATATGAGTAATGACATCTACCTTTGTGGTTATAATAAAATCAAATATGATAACAAATAAAGGTCTTCAAACAGTACTAAGGATGTGGAAAACACTCAATAAACATTACATTTCCTCTTTGGAGGGTAAAGCCCATACCCTTATGTAATTAATTTTTCAATTCCCCAAAGCAACCTAGAGAGTGCCTTGCAACAAACAGTTACTGAGCACACTTGACCTGGTTTCTACATAGAGGTTCAGAGAAAATGAAAGGCCTGAATATGTTGATTCTTCTTCATTTTGCAGCATTTCTGTTTACTACCCTCACATCAAGGAAACTTCCTACAGAAATGAGAACTCTGCAAATTCTGTCCCTCTACCAGTGCTTGGTTCAATGTCATTTAATCAGCATGTGAGCATCAATAGAGCAGCAGGGTGGGAAGATGTCAGGAGGAGGGAAAACAATTTACCAGAGCTTTCCACCTGGTTTAACCTATTTGTTGCTATTGTCTATAGTTTGATGACAACACTTTTGGCATCCATCCTGGTGTCCCCATGGAAAGACTATCCAGCTGCCCATGGCATTGATGTGTAAAGCAAAACAGAGTATTTATGCATTTCCATGCAAGGGAGAAGCCAGGGCAAATCATTAATTCTTCATAGCTCCAAAGGATAACTTTAACACTTCTCCAAGTTCTAATGATAATGAAGCAAAAAATGTCAAAAATTTCAGAGATTTCATTAGGCTCTAATATAACCCAAATATCCACAATAATCTCATTCTAATAATAGGGGAAAATTAAATCTAAAGCCTAAAGTTTTTCCATTATATACATTTGAAATTCTTTTTCTTAGGGAAAAAAAATCCTCATCTCATTCTTGATGAGCAGAGATATAACAGAAAGCTAATTTTTGTGGTATGTGAACTTATTTCTTCTGTAAGGGAAATTTTAAGTCATTTCAGCACAGGTACATAGGGATTATATATATATAGAGAGAGATAGACAGATAAGCAGAATACACACACACACACACACACACACATATATATATATTTGTTGTTGTTGTTGTTATGTGCCATCGAGTCGGCCCCAACTCATAGTGACCCCTCCTTGGGTTTCCAAGGCAGTATCACTATGGAAGTAGGATTGCCCAACCTTCCTTCGGAGGAGTGGCTGGTGGGTTTGAACCGCCAGCCTTCTGGTTAGCAGTCAACTGCTTTAGCCACTATGCTACCAAAGCTCCCATATATATATTTTTTTAATAAAAAGGTCCAGTACATTAAATATTTTTCCAATTTTCTGAAACTCAAGGGCAAACACAAATGATAATAACTCTTCCTATGTCTGGTGTTAGAAGGGATGGATGAATATCTTTATTAACAGCATCCCAATAGTTTTTTTTTAATCATAAAGAGATGAAGTTTTTTAATTCAGTCTTCATAGGAATTGGCTCTTATATTCTATCTCAATAAAAAAGTAAAACAATAAAAATACAATATTCCTGTTAACATTTATAATGTGGCCCAGAAGGAAGAATTTGACAATATAAAATTAAACTATGACATTAAATTAAACTAGGACTATATATAGGAGCTCTGGTGGTGTAGTGCCTAAGGTTTTGACCAGAAGGCTGGTGGATTTGAAGATTGGGCAATCTACTTCTGTAGAGATACTGCCTTGAAAACCCAAGGAGGGGTCGCTATGAGTCAGATCCAACTCAATAATACTGAGTTTGGTTTATATATATGTATATGTAATTATGACAATATAAAACTATGGTCATAGAGCATAAAGTATGTGGAGAATGACAATGCTTTCTCCAAGAATCAATCCAAGAACTGGTATACATTGAGTACCTTTGATGTGTTCAGCCCTGTTCTGAGAACCATAAGACTTATAAATAAATTTATGTATTTTTTGCTTAGTAAATAATTCTTGACTATATTCTCAACACTTTTGGAGAAAAATTTAAAGAGTTCATACCTTGACAAAAAAAATCCAAACAAATATACTTCAAAATGCTAAGAAAAAAATAACACTTGCTTGAAAGAGTATAAATTAGGTAATTTTTTTTAAATTGTGATTTGGGTGAAAGTTTACAGAGCCAATTCACTTTCCATACAGCAGTTCACACACACATTGTCTCATGACATTGACTACAATTTACCCCAATGCAACAGTTCCACTCCCACTTCCTCCCGATAGTTACCACTTCCCTGTGTCCATCCCTCCATGCACTTCTGCCCTCTGAACTGTCTCCCTATGCATAAACAGCCCTTCCTTCTCCCATGATTGTTCTCTCCAAGGAGTGTATCTACAATTAGGTAAAATTTTTAAAAGCATACATGCTGTTAACCACAAAATATTTCTCTTACCTGAATTGGGAAGATATTTTCAAGATGCAAAATCTAAAACGTTGTAATTTTTGTTTCTATAAATACTTCTTTAGTTAGTAACAGAAATTAATTAGATGTTCTGCCAAGCAGACTCATAAAACTTGAGAAAAGTATGTTCAGTATTTGTCCTTATCTATAATAATAGTAATATGAGTGGATTCTACTCATGCATAGTTTTAGGCTATTGGGATTCATTTATTGAACATAGGTCTAACAATATAGGCAATGTTTAATACTCACCCTCTGGCCAGGGCTTATTGAGAAGGAAATGTTTTCTAATATGGCATTGCCACCATCCACATATTTTGCTGTGAGGTCTTTGACGGTCATTTGGCCCCCTGAGGGCCAGTCATCATCTTTTTTCACGTGCTGATTCTCAATAATCATAACTTTGGAGAGCTGCCCATCCTTGAATGGTTTCATTGCTTTGGCAGATTTACTTTCTTCTGTTGGCATGTCAATAAACTTAAAGACTCGGCTCACAGATCGCATCTGAAATAAAAATAGCAATATTGATTTTTGTTTAAGAACTGCAAGCAGCATCATAATAAGTTTGATGTTCACTAAAAAAACATAACTTGTACTCCCATGAAGTCTTCTTTAAACCAAACAATACTGTTAGGTGCCATCGAGTCCATTCTGACTCATAGCAGCCCACGTTCAACAGAATGAAACACCACCTGGTCTTGTGCCACCCTTGCTAGGTTTGAGCTCATTGTTGCAGCCACTGGGAGAATTCGCCTCATTGAGGGTCTTCCTCTTTTTCGCTGACCCTCTACTTCACTAAGTACGTTATCCCTCTCCCAGGGCAAGTCCTTCCTGACAACAGATCCAGTAAAGAATGTCTGCCTTGAGCAGCATACTCTTTTAAGCTCTGGTGGCACAGTGCCTAAGGCATTTGACTGCAAAACAGAAGGTTGGTGATTCAAACCCATCACCTACTCCATGGAAGGAAAAAGGGGAAATCTACTTCTGTAAATATTTACCACCTCGGAAAACCATTGGGGATCGCTATGAGTTGAAATTGACTCAATGGCAGTGGGTTTAGTTTGCTTTACATGGGATAAAACTGACAATAGCAACTCAAAAGATTAGATAGGAAACTTAGAGGGCAGTAAGTTTAGGTTAATAGGAAGGAAAAATTCAGAAAAAGCGGGTGGGACTGGTTTTAAAACTTGAAGAATGTAATCAGTGTTTGAACTGTACATGAAGAAGTTGTTGAATTGGTGTATATTCTGCTTTGTATCTTCTCAACAACAACAACAAAATAAAATAAATTTAAAAATATAACTTGTAAGATATCATGCTAGCTACTTGCCCTTGAATTCATTGTCAGGCTTTTCAATGACTTAATAGAAAGTCATCAGATATAATTAAAAGCTTAATTAACAATAATTAACTATAATTTATATAAATAGGCTCTGTATAGAGCCTATTTATATAAATTATATTTGTTTATTTTGGTGATTACTTAATTCTCAATTATGGAAACCACACATAAACAGGCAAACTCTTCTTAAGGGCATAGATGATGTTAAAGGGAAATGTTTTTTCTACTATGCGCAGTATTGTACAGTGTTATACAGCCAGTATATTATTAATAAATGAACCACACTTCAAATTATTATTGATGATTCTTACCTTTCTCTAGAACTACCCTAATAACGATTTTATATGTCAACCAGGGGTTAGGTGGACTTTTGATGCTTTGTTTGTTGTTGTTGTTAGGTGCCGTGGAGTTGGCTGACTCATAGTGACCCTATGCATAACAGAAGGAAGTACTGCCCAGTCTTGTGTCAGCCTCACAATCCTTGCTATACCTGAGCCCATCGTTTAGCCACTGTGTCAATCCAACTTGTTGAGGGCCTTCTTGATGCTTCATTAAAGCCCAAACCAAACTCACTGCTATCAAGTTGGTTCCCACTAATAGTGACCTCCACTGGGTTTCTAAGGGGGTACATTTTTACAGCAGTAGATTGTCCCATCTTCCTTCTGTGGAGCAGCTGGTGGGTTTGAACTGACAGCCTTCTGGTTAGCAGCCTTAGGCACTATGCCACTATGCTATCAATTAAAATTGATGCTTAGTCAATTTTAAATAACTTCACAATAACCTTCAAACAAATTTAGGTCATTGGTATATGTTTATAATTAAATAATTACATTCTTCATCTAAATTACTTAAATATCAATTCACATGGCTGAGCAAAATATGAATACGTATAAGGCTTGCATTTGAAATTAAATGTATACCTGTTTTATATATCTATTTATATAACATTTAATAAAGCATACCTTCATTATCAGAAATAAAAAAGCTCAAGTATTTTTTTAAAATAGCTTAAATAAAAGAATATTTTTCTCTGGAAAATTATGGTTTACTGGAATTTGAAATCTGATTTTAAAAAAATCTAGCATATAGTAGGCACTCAATAAGTATTTGAAAAAATAACGAATGATGGGATGAGCATATAAATGAATAAAAAATAATGAAGATTTAATTCTGTTGACCCCGTGGTTCAGTCTTTCCCAGGTATTAATAGTTTAATAGAGAAAACTTCACTGTGTATTCTTTTTCTTTTGGGTATTAGTACTACTTATTACTTTTATTGCAGACTTTCTTGAGTAAATAATGTAAGTAACTTTCTCCCTCACAATGTTAATTTATTATTATCTTATTTATTGCTAAGGCTTATACTACTAGAAATTCTTCTTTTTGCAAAAAAAAAAACAGAGGGGGATCTATGTAGGAGATGCTGGATAGAGAAGGAGAACAATGTGGAACAAAACTCAAAATCAAAAAAAAAAAAAGGGGGGGGGAGGGCAGAAGTGCCTTTGGAGCATTTCTTATTTCTATTTTCCATTATTATAAGGTGAAGTGGGATATGTTCTTCATCTTTAGCATGGAAAGATCAGTGGACGGAGCAGCAGAGTTTACATAATGACTCCCCATTGAACATTTGGTTTGCTTTTTTAATTGAACATTACAAGTTCTATCTTAGCAAATCTAATTGCATTATCCATTATTTATGAAGTTCTTTTATCTTTCTAGTGATTCTGTGCTTCCATTTCCTTAAACTTGAAAATATCTTCAAATTATCTTCAATATTTATGCAAGATTCACAGAGAGAATCCTTTTAACCCAAACTCATTGTTGAAAAAAAAAAAGAAAAGAAAAGAAACTCACTGCTATCGAGTCGGATCTGACTCATAACTACCCCTCCTTGGTTTCCAAGGCGGTATCACTACGGAAGTAGATTGCCCAACCTGCCTTCCGAGGAGTGTCTGGTGAGTTTGAACCACCAGCCTTCTGGTTGGCAGTCAAATGCTTTAGGCACTATGCTACCAGAGCTCCATGGAAGTGAAAAAGGAGCAAATCACACACCCATCAAAAATACTCTAGAAGAAGCAAATGATGTGTAATCACTGTTTTTCCCACAAGTAATATTTTAAATTCTGCACTATGGGTGACTTTCAGGGAGTGTTAAATACTTATACAATTATTCTTGAGTAATTCTGAATTTAAAATAACCTCCCATATCACTGCCATTCATTTTCCCAGAGAGCTGCTAGTCTATATAAGGTCCAAAAGGTAAATTAGAAGTATAACTGCCACTTAGGTGAAACTCTCAAAAAAATAACTTAAATCTATTTAAAATATCTTACTGTCTTTACCCTGCATAAGAATAACATCAGCCTCTTGAAATGATTGAGGAAAGCAGAGAACTTGGCTTTTTTTTTATAAAATCAAGTTGAGACAGTCAACATTTCGTTATGTTAAATCTGTGAAGAGCACTAAACTAGTCTTTGTTAAGCACTTTTATGTCAAGGAGAGCACTGTAAGTAAAAAATTTCTTAATTTTTAATTATTTGTTTCAGTGAAAATATACACCACAAACATCCTCGTTCGACAATGAACATGGTGTACAGTCACAGACAATGGTTCCATACATCACAAAAATATCATCATTCTTTCTATCTGTGCCCCATACTATTTCACCACCTTACCTTAGACTCTCTGTTCATTAACGTTCTCATCTGTGTTTTAGAGTTACCGTTGTCCATTTGATCTTTAAAAGAGCTTGATGCTCAAGGCAAACAGTCTTTATTTAATGAGGTAAACTGTTGTTTAGTGTCAAGATGACGTCATGGAATAGTTTTGGTTCAAGGCTTAAAAGCTATAAAACCCTCTATATTTTAATACTTTCAAACAACCAATAAAACATTTAAGTATTGCTATCCAAACTGCTCAAAAGTATATATAGTGTTATTAGGAAATAAGAATTTCAAATACACAATGTCCTAGTCTGAGCATTTGTGTTTGAGCTTAGCAAATCACATTTTCCATTCATGAGGGTCACTGCTGAAGGGAATCCAGCCTCATACCACAAAGCGTGTACCTTCTAATGCCACACCTGGTTTTCACACTGGCAAATGGAATGTACCTATCAAATTTAGAAAATGAAACTTTCCAACTCATCATATTTCACAGAGTCTAGTTGCTTAAGGAGACTCCAAGACAGGCTATTAGTTACCCAAAGCATGGTCAAATATCCTTGACCAAGAACATGGTATTTCATCTTAACAATGGGCACTTTTCCAAAGCATAGGAGTGGCCATTCATTCAATTCAATGGGTTAGAACATTTTTTAAGGGAAAAAAAACAAAACAAAAAACAAAACAGGTGTTTAAACAGACACTTGTATTATGATCAGTTTTGCCGGAACTGGAATGCCATTATTCACAGATGATGTGGCCACATAATATTGTGAATTATTAATCAATTTATGACCTCACAAGCTCTCCAGGATTGGCCAGCTTGGACATTCTACCTCCACTGCCTCTGGGAGAAGCTACATCAGAACCAGAACAGAGACATCAACTCTTGTCTTTTACATTTCAAAAACTGGCCTTCGAAACTCAAACCACAGAGATTAATAGTGTTAAAGCTTTGAGACACAAAAATATTTGCTTTTAAGCTTCAAAAGCTAGAGCAGGAAGGACTCAAGACATAATTGACTTTGCAAATAGTAGCCATAGACAAAGTCATGATGGATGAGAAGCAGTTCCTCTCTTTATCCCACAATCAAACTCAAGAGACGTTGTCCATGAACAGGAGTAACAAGAGAGTTTAACTATCAATGCTAAAAATAGATCCTGCCATGCAACTGAACCCTGCCTTGATCCTCATATGGATTTTGGGGATTTTAGAGCACAAGAAGCCCAGTGGCACAGTGGTTAAAGTGATCAGCTGTTCATCTGGAAGATTGGCAGTTCTCACCGACCCTGTGGAAAAAAGATGAACATGACACAGGACAGGGCAACATTTTGTTCAGTTACACATAAGGTCATTATGAGTTGGACCTAACTCAAGAGCAACTAACAGCACAGCCAAAGTACAGTTACATGTCTTGCACACCTTATCATCCCTTGTAGCAAGTATGTATCCATGCTTAGTGGGTCTGGAGGCTTAAGTAATTTAGGAGACCCATCTT